AGGGGTCATGCTGGGAGGGGGTTGGGCAGAAGAGGCCATGCCTGCTTGAGCCACCCCCTCCAGAGCCTGGCATGGAAGTCAAGATTCCTGAGTCTCACCATTCTTCTGCTGTCAGCAAATAACTGTGAAACTCACAGGGAAGGTGTCCTATCCCCCTCTAGTGCTGATCCACATGACAACCTACTACTGCTATCAGAGCCAATATTAGCTTACATGGCATAGGTCTTTGTGGTGGATCTAAATGTCCGAACCCTGCCAATGACCCAGTGGGTATCAATATGATGTCACATAATAGAATTTCTGTTTTTTTTCCAGTTTTCTTTCTTAAGAAAGTAGTAAATTAACTCCCCACACACACACACACATTAAAAGAGCATTAAGGTTGCAAAGTCAAGCACTCCAAAGTTGGGAGATGCCAGTACTAAGGTTGCTGACTTGAGACCCTGGGGTCTGATTTGCAGAAGTGCTGAGCACTGGCAGCTGCAGATTCAGTCAGTGGGAGTGAACATATAAAGTGCTGTAGAATGCTAAGTTCTATGCAATAGCAGGCCCTAAGCATCTCAAATGGGGGATGCAAAATTAGTGGATTTTTAGACTATAATCTCTCTGACTTCAGTTCCCCATTTGTCCAAAGGAGTTTACAGTCTAGATTTCATTTTTTTAAATGACTTGGATTGAGGGATTAATCTGATTAACTGTAGGAACAAATGACAGTATTTCAAGGTCTTACCACCACCTTGTGCCAGCATAACACGAAGCCAGAGATCATGAAATCTTAGTCCCATTAAGTTAATAGCAAATATCCAATTGACTTCAATGGAGAGAGGATGTCGCCCCTAATTGCTATGGGGCAAAATCAAGGTCAGGTTTGCACAGCAGCAAAGGGATGTAAGGCATACCATGGATTGCAGTGTGAGGACGACAGAAGGCTCTGTAGAGCTTCTAGACTCACCCCATCCCCGCCCCCCTCTCCGTAAGCAGGTGAACGAAAATGGGCAGGGAATGGACAGATTCTTGGCTCTGCCTCCCCAACACATTGGCTAGCTATACTAGACAGTGAACTGCAAGATATACACTGCACCAGGTGTAGACTTAGTGCAGGGGTAGGGGAAGACCTGGAGGCAGACTGTGGCTTTCTCAGGGCTCATGGCAAAACACAGTTGAGTCCAACATTTGTACCTGCAAATGACTGTGGACTCAAAAATGGAGGACAGTTTTAAGCCCCTTTAAAAATGTGAACCTCCGTATTTGTACTTTACAGTTGTGCTGCATTAACCCATTAAAATACTACAATTTTCTCCAGTAATCTCACAAGACACTACAGTATTGCTACTGTAACATATATTGTGTTGCATCATTACAGTAGAATATTGCAATGTTTTCTCATAAGAAAAATTAGCCTACAGAAATCATGTTATCTGCTGCTTTTATTACCAATCCTAGCATACTGTATCCTGGAATCATCCACATTAATGGGTTGCTGAATGTGTATTATCCACATAGTTGTTAAACATTATTT